CCGAAACCATGTTATTAATGAGTTGGACACAATATATTCATTTGATCCCAAATTTTCAAGCAACAACCAGCAACTTTTTCATTGACATTTTAGCATTGGTCATGCATAAATCCACACTCTGAACTTATGATTAGAGCATTGCCGTAAATTCCCTCAATTCGTCTTTTCTAGAATACATTATCTGACTGTTCTGTATCTCCAGCTTAGAAGGTGAACTTTTCGGGTAACCGCATACTGACAATGATTGACCTGACGGTTGGCTTCTCGGATGGCAGACGCCATAGTGACTTGGACTAATCCTTACTGAGGCACTCACCGTTGCTTCAAAAATCGCAGTTCTAACATGTATAGTTCAGAATTCTATCAACGTCTACTCTCGTAGTTATGCCAAATGTTGTCAGTCGCCCTCAGTTTCGTTTTCGAAGCAAGTAACTCTTCAAGAAGTTTGGTGGTTTTGATTGGGCAATGCATCAAGATACATAAAATGTACAAATGAGCATGTAGTCAAAGTTTCCGCCCTTTGTACATTACTTCGCTATACGCCCCAGTTGAAGAGTGCTGTCGCAGGGGGTGGGAGTGAGAGCATAGAGGATTGGGTTACTGCTTCAGGTGATGCCGGAAAGTGTTCCTCAAGCCTCGCTGTCGATCGGTCAGGAATAGAATTAAGGATGGTTGAACTCCAAGGCATGAAAGGAGTATTCCACGACACCACTGCCGTGTCTGAAGTACTATTGGGCTTGGAATCGCTGGTTAATGGCAAGAACGTCTTGTCCATCCCTTGGTCACTGGTGGCAGACGATCTCGATGGCAGGATGTGTAAATCACTCCATCCGCTGGTACGAAGAAGGGAGAGCGGTTCACTTCTGCACAGTGGAGAACTCAGCCTGGGAGGTGACCCAACTTGTGAGAGAACAGCACCATTAAGAGGATGCGGGCCCAACTCCGGCGGGTGGTTAGTGGTACACTTCACGGACGCGAGGGCAGACGCGGCGAACGAGGCGGCTCGCAGTAGGAGGGACGTCTGCTCCTGCATCTTCAGGCCCCATTCTTGTCCGGCGCTCTCTTTTTCCCCTTCTTCCTCCTCCCTCGCTTTGAGTGACCACTCCCTCCCATTATTCGTCTCAGTATCTGGCCTCGGCGCAGTACCTGTGGGCTTGGAATGGAACACACCGTTAGGGCCTGTTCTTGTTGCAGTCACAAAGTTGAAAGAAAGCCCTGGAAAATTTGCTGCATCAAGTAGTTTGACGTAGTGTTCGTGGAGTGAAGCATGGAACTGCTGTGTGCCCTCAGAGTGAGCCATCTGTCCCTCACCATGCTCTGCTCTATCTCCGTGTGAGGGGGTGAGCTTCAAATCGTAGGCTTGTGACACTAGGGCTTGGGGTTGTGAGGATGGATTGGGACCAACGCCAGTTGTCTTCTCGAGTACGCCTAACTTTATTGTGTTAGCAAGCGCGTTCACGCCAGGGCAGCCGGTGAGCCTTCCCCGAGTCCCAGAAGGGACGATATAAGAGGGCAGGGAGTCTAGCTGAGTTTTTGATGATGTAGTCGATGGAGCTGGTGGGAAGGTAATTGGTGGACTGACCGCTGTAGGACTGTTAACATCTTTGCCGGGGTTCTGCTTCTTCCATTTGGTGCGCCGGTTCTGGAACCAGATCTTCACCTGCGTCTCCGTGAGGTTGAGTGCGAGGGCCAAGTTGAGACGCTCATAGACGGAAAGATAGCGCGCGCTTTTGAACTTGTTTTCTAGAGTAACCAACTGTTCGTAAGTGAAGGCGGTCCGCGCACGGCGTGTCTTCCTTCCGGATGCGGAGGCACACATACGGTCACTCTGCCTGTCCTCTCCATATGCATTCCACTCGTCGCCGTCTTCATAACCACCTGTTGTTGCCCGATAGTCGATAAATTTGTCACCGACGGAGGAGCTTCTGCTGTCTCCCTCGTCTTCCCTGTGTGTCCCCTCGTCCAAAAGGTTGCCCTTGGCGTTAATCCCCTCCCTGTTTGAACTGGATGGATGTTCTGGCATGAGGCGCGCTCGTTTGCCGGGAGTCTCTGATAGATTCGTGGGTTCTGTATCGAATGAGTTTATGGAGGTTGAGTCTTCATCGGGACTAGTATCTAAACTGGTTTGACGTCTGCTACTGTACAAGACACCCGAAGAGGCGCCGTCAACATAAATCTGGCAGGCCGTCCCTGATCCGGTGTCCTCCTGTGAGCGTGTACCCTGGTTGACACGGTTTCCTTCGCTGATTTGGCCCCCTGGACCGCGTGTTGAGGTTGCTGAAGTGATACAGATAAAAACTGTAACAGTAGGTGTAGAGACAACTGATGACATCTTTAACGGAAGCAGTTATCTCGGTTCTGTCAAGGTCACATTCAAAACCAAAAAATCCATCGTTCGCAAACGAAGGTTTTTAACAAAACCTGATCAGACCTGGCCTCCTCAGACCTCCTCAATTTGCATCTGCTCATTCCTATGAGACAGTTTGCACAGGTCGAACGATAAGACACCTTTCTAAATGGATGTGTGAGCAACATCCTGTGCGGTTTGGTCGAGACTCGACCATGTCCAATTATAGCCTTATCCTGACTCCTCTGGTGGATCCTAGTTGTCCGTTGGAAGTCAGAGGCCCTGCGCGTAGTGTACATAGTTCCGTCGAACTGATCGAAGGCGCTACACGAGTCAAGATTGCGACAGCGGAGGTAGTGGCTATCATGTCCTCTGTGGTCAAAAGTCCTAAAGCTATCAAAGCTCCTATGGCCGAAACGCGGTGTGCTCTTCCAGTGCACACAAAAGCTACCCTGATAGACGACACCACGGCAGTTGACGAGCTAAGTTTCTCTCTCCACGTGCAGGATTGACTCCTCCTCCCATCCCCTCCCCCTCCCCCCCCCCACGGCCTCATCATCAACCCTCCTTTTAACTCTTCTCACTTTCCCACAGACACCACCCAGCATATCGTTCCTCTCTTCTCTCCCTGTTTCACCTAACCAACTCCCTCATTAAATCGTACATACGAAAGAGAGCAATAGTTTGTACAAACAACAAGAGTGAGTTTTTAGTTGCAGATGGCAGAGTCTGTCTGAAGGGCAGCCATTGCTAAGACAAAAAGTAAGTGAGCCAGGTTCGAAGGAGGTGAGTTCATAAAGCCCCAGCGTCGGGGACGTTTACTGTCAAACATACTTATCCTCGGGAATGCTGAGCAATCGTTTGCGTCGAACGCGTGCAATAGCCTGTAATTAAGCATAAGGAAATGTTCCGGAAATATCCTTTACAAATTCATGCAAATGTAGGTTCTCTATGAATCACTTCGCAAGCAATACAGTTTTCCTCTTTGACATTGAGATGCCTTAGGACTTCGCACTTTTAACTGGGGCATCAGTCTGGCACACAGAAAAGTCCTGCGAACGCAGATTAGGTTCTGGTCCATCTGACCACTTATGGAGAGGTCGTGTGGTTAACTCGAAGCCAATGACAGGGCATGTATTACTAACTGGACTAAGGGTCCGAAATTCGCAAGCCTATTAACTCGCTGGGCTCATTTCAAATGTCTTACATGTCTCCCCTTCCCCCTCCCCCAAAGTCTTCGTTGTCAACTTGAATTTACTAATTGTGATGTCATTATCGCCTCCTCTCTCTTTGCATACACCATTAAGCATAGCACATAGTAACGACTTTACACGAAGACAATACTTCATTCACTTTTTGCCCTTCTCATAATCAGTCTAGCTCATATTTGCTTATTAGCAAGCCTAAGCATATGACAAGAACGAAGAATAACGAGCAACAGCAGCATTCTACCATCGTGTCTCGAGTGGTCAGTACACTGTCCCTTTGTTTATTTCCCGTTGGTATGTCTGTCGTTGAGTAACAAAACGCCACGGGTTTCCATCGAGCATAACATTATTATTTCTCAACTACAACTTGAAGCCTTATTGCATGTAAGACCTTCTCCACTTTGAGCCTAGTGATCTTGCCGAGCTATTTTCTAACAAATTTATTTTCACCGTAAAGAGAGCTATTTCGCTTGTCCACAGGTTTGAAGTAGATCTGGATGGATGATTCAACTAGTGATAGTCATCTGGTGGGTTCTAGATTAATTGCATAGTAAATCATGCTTGGGCAGTCGGTTTACTGTATCCAAATTTGTGGATCGCATACATTACGGTAGGCTGGGTGGGTAACGATCCAAATTTTATTAAAATCACGGCTCCCAGTGGGGCCTCATACCTCAGGTGGCTAGGGCGTTGGCTGCACTCAAGCCTTCTCCTTGCTATCGTGGGCCCACACCTCACCGAGGTCGTCGAGTTCTTCACAGATGGGTTAAAACAGATAGCATAAATAATCAATAAGGCCTTTGCTTGTCTATGTTTCATTTAAATATTTCATTTCAGCCTACAAACATAGGTGGCTTGTTAATACAACAAAAAATGCCCAAATAAAACAATTGCCGGACGTCTTGATATCAACTTGTTTACGCCACTTGGTGTCTTGCTGGGAACAGTACATTTGTCCCATTCCGCAGCGGGGAGTTGTTTGCAACTTGCAGTCCGAATCGGTGCGAAATGAGCTGCGTCAGGCTTGTGCTCACGGTTCCATAGGTAATGAAAACGCAGTCTGCGGTCTCAGCAGAACCGAAAAATACATGTTATGCGACTGTGCGCGCCATAGCAACACAGATAAGATCGAGGCGTCGCGAACTGACAAACCTAAAACGCGTAATTTCCCACGTTCCCGCGAAGATGTTCCACTGATGGTCCAGTGAAGGTGCATTCAGTCATTGCGAGGCGAACAATCGCACCCGCCCAAAACGGCCAGTTAGCTTTTAAATAGAATATTCACATTGGAGATAACTGTACACGAAAACCGCGTTGGGAGCCTGGCAGTCCCCAGGCTTTCGGCGGTCTGTGTGGTCCTGGCACCTCCACGTCTCGACAGCTGCTTTTCCAGAGCTCTGACGGTTGGCATTTTTTGACTTCTTTACGCGTACTTATCAAAGGGGTGAGAACTATTTTGCGGTCGCACCCCTCCCCCACTTCCGAATTTGGAGAGGCTGAGTGACTGGTGTAGGCTGGACCGATCAGACCCCCCCCCCCTCTCTCCACCTCCGCCATATCGCCATTATTATAATTAATTCCCGCCTGGTGAAACTATTAGGCCGCATGTGATGACAGTCTGGGTGCTGTCGTGGGAGGGCGAGATTCGAGACACCTTCTCTCCATGATCGCCGTTGTTTCTCCTCCTGTGGCGGAAGCTGGGCAAGGGTGGCCGGCACTCCCCCAGCGCAACCGGACACCTACACATACGATGGTCCCATGACCAAAGGACAGACAGTGGCTAGGCCCATTGCAGACAATAGTCGGACCACCTTAGTACGGTTTCGGTTAGAGTTGGAAAAAGGGGAGGCGGGAAGATTGAGACCACACCAACCCCCTCCCCCCTTATCCACCCGAAGTCGCTCCTCAAAATGAGCTTCGTGTCCAAGAAGTAAGGTTTTAATTAGCTGCACGGTACCACTGACTTCGCAGAAAACTAATCGCAACTGTCTTACTCGGTTTACACCGAAATAAGAAACTTTAATGTAGGGAACGTGTGATGTTGGAAAGCAGTCCCTACAACGATGACGAAGATTATGGCGATGTTGGTATTAGGGGTTTTGGCAGATTTGAATAATTTGTTTGACTCACTTGCGAAAAACTCGGCGGCCTCACTGGAATCCACCAGTTCTGATACAGTAAACTGACTGCCCAAGCATGATTTCCCAAGCAATCAGTCAAGAATCCACCAGATGACTACTGGGCGCCGACGTCTTCACCAATGCGTCAAATGAGTTATTCAAATCTGCCAATACCCCCTATTAATTAATTGCGCCTAGTGGTCGTAATGCGGAATCTAGATCAATTACTTTGGAATTCATGCTTGGGCAGTTAGTTTACTGTAGCAGATTTGGAGGATAGCACACACTGCGGTAGGCTGAGTGGGTGACTTAACCCACATGTGATTAAATTCACAGCTCCCGGTGGGGCCTCGTAGCTCGGTTGGTTAGAGCGTTGCCTGTGCTAAATCCTTCCCTTTGATGTCGTGGCTTCGAACTCCATCGAGATTGCAGAGTTTTTTACAACTGAGTCAAGTGAAAGATGTCGTTATTGGCACTGACGGAGGGATGCNTCACGTTCGTGATGGTATTGTTGGTGACGACGGCGTCGGCGGTGCTTAGGTGAAAGTTATGTATAGGGGTTCGCCAACTTGTGGTTCATGCAGACTGGGCGGGGAGGGGGACGGTTGAGAGCAGTACCTCACATGTCACCCTCATTATAATACAACTCATACTCCAAACAATACTGCTCGCATGGTGAAGATCCCCAATGGACCAATGGACGAACTACACGCGACAGCATAGGCAAATTGCATACTTACTATGGCTACGGTTAAACTGCGTTTTGACTCTTCAAGAACCTCCTAGGGACCCGTGCATCCTATTTTGCCTCTATACCCGATTTAGTGCCCTTGCGTAGCGTAGCATGGCGACGGAAAATCAAGCATAGAAAAGAGTTACCGACCG